CTCAGATTTCTGAAATCTAGGCTGTGAATCTGAAGTCTTTGATGCTGAACTATTTGCAATAGTGAAAGCTTTCAAACTCATAGAAATAAAATCTTATAAAAGAGAAAATAGTTTGAAAGAGGTATGAATATTCTCTGATAGTCAAGCTGCTTTAAAAAGACTTAGAAATAGTCAGATTCATAATGATCAAATGAATCTTGAACTGATCTTATCGGATTGAGTGTCACAGATGAATATGTTGAAGACATATGAATCTTATTTATATCAAGATCTGCTTGTTATATTATCCGTACTCTATCTCATATATCTATTTCATACAAAAGATAGAGCTATTTATAGTAAAATATATGTGCGAGTCAAGAGAGCTAGCATAAGTGAGTTTTAGATGAGTGTTGTAGTAAGCTGATAATGATAAGAAATATTGTAGTAATATGATGTTGATGATGTTCAGTAGTGTATAACCTCTTTTTCCTGACACACCCCCTTCAGCGAATGTAACATGTAAATGAAAGTGTAAATGAAAGTGTAAATGAAGCTGCAACAAAAAGAGTGTAGATGAATGTGTAAATGAAGATGTAAATGAAAGTGTAAATGAAGCTGCAATAAAAAGAGTGTAGATGAATGTGTAAATGAAGCTGTAATAAAAAGAGTGTAGATGAATCTGTAGAGATTATATCAAGATAGATTATTTATTCTGCTTGCGCCTTGATGATATCTGATATATCAACTAGTTCTAGCATCTTGACGAATTCTGTATGTTTCTGGTGTGGCAGAGCCTTAGTGAGGCCATTCGCTGGCATCTGGGCTGTAGGCACTCAATCAACTGTAATATCACCGGATTGAACATGTTCTCGGAGCCAGCTTCCATATATATCAACATGGTGGAGCTTTGTGGTTATAGAGGGGTCTTCCTTTGTAAGAATGTCAACAGTTTGATAATTATCACATTGAATACAGATCTTGTGGCCAGGTTCAAATTGAATATATTGAAAGAACCTATCCCATCAGATAGACTTCTTACCAGCTCATGAGATAGCAACAAGCTCAGCTTCTGTGATAGATGTAGTTATAATTGTCTGTCTATTTGATTTCCAATCAATGGCCTCACTGAATAGTTTGAAGATATATTCTTGTGTAGAGTAGCGATCTGGATTATCTGTGAAAGAGGCATCACTGGCAGCTTCAATGATATCAGGTTTGAGATCAAGTTGTAGAGGTCTGCCAATGTTACCATCGTATTGAATAGCGAGATTCTTCATATTGCATAGATAAGATATCATTCTATCCACCTCTGATAAGTGATGTTCCGATGGATTCATCATGAATGTAGCTAGTTTACCCACTGCATATGTGATATCAGGGTGAGTCATCACTGCTGAGTAGATGCAGAAGCTGATACATTGTTGATAATGATGAATTTTTGCAGATATGACTGGCTTGTTAAAAGGCTCTAACAGAGCACCAGTTAGTGGGGTATATGCCTTGCGGGCGTGTGTGAGATGATATGTATCAACTATCTTATCAATATAGACATCCTGGCATAGCCAGAGCTTCAAGTTGGGGTGATCGCGTATTATTCGCATGTTGAGGAACCATTTCAAATCTCTCATCTGTCGGATCTTGTAGGCATTTTTAAGATCTTTGATTAGTTGATCTCTTTCTTTCAAATCTTCTTGTCGCGATAGAATGACGATATCATTTACATAGAAGAAGATGATTAATCAATCATTAGAGAAGAGACATTGATCCTCTGGCATTGAGGTGAAGCCTAGTGTTCTCAATGTTGAAGATAGTTCATTTAATCAGAGAGGGGATGATCTGTGTAATTCATATAGTGCTTATAGAAGTTTTAGCACATGATTTGTACACTTCAAATTTTGCACCTTCTTCAACTTTCATCATTCATCAGGTAGTTCCACATATACTAGCTCATCAATATCACTATTAATGAAAGCATTGATTTCATCTAGCTGTTCTGCATCTAGATCAAATGCTGCTGTTAAAGCTAATAAGATTCAGAGATCTCTGGCAGCTAGAGTGTGAGCTTTTGTAGTGAGATCTGTGGTTGGTTGAAGATCTCCGCGTACACAGATGTGAGCTTTGTATTTCAAAAGAAAACCTTCATCATCGAATTTGTAGATGAATACTCATTGTAGAGAAATAACTGAGACATCTCTCTGTGATCTGCTAGTAATTTCATATGTATTCTGCAGAGATATACTATCTCATTCCCTCTTGACAGTGTTCTCAAATTCTTCATGATGTGGGTGTTTTTCAACATCTGCTCAGTGGTTCGGTGAATCTGGCAGTTGAGATCTATGAATCCTTGAAGGAATTGATGCTGTTGAGATAGATGTCTTGTTGATAACTGTGAAAACAGTATTAGGAAATAAATTTTGAGACTTGTTGAAGTCTGTGTGTGAATTTGAATGAGAGAATGTATCATTGATCATTTGATAAGAATTGTCTTTGACAATTGAAACTGTCACAAGATGGGCAGCTCTGCATTTTCAGGTTCTGCAGTCTTCAATGATATTAGCTTCATCAAAATCAGCACTGATATCATGAGCTCTAGGTGCAATGTTCCGTGTTCGATTATCTATCACAGCTGGATGAGTATTAATATCAACATCAGGACCTGTTGACTCTGGTGTTGGATCTGGTGTTGAATCTGATGTAGGAAGAATCAAAATGTTATTTTCCTCCCCTATTTTTTCAGAGCTTTGATCATTTTCTTCAGAGTGAAAGACATTAATATCTGCAGTGTCTATAATCTCTTTCAATTGATTGATAGAAGTCATTGATGGTTCTTGAACTTTCATATATAGAAGCTCCACCTTCTTAGATACTCAATCTCTTAGTTGTCTTTTGATATAGAGGTCTTCTGGGTTGAATTTTCTATTCTCATTAAACATCACATCTCTTGCTCTTATCACCTGTTCTAAGTGTGGAATTCAAATTTGATAGATGTTTGTAGAATCATATTCAACTAGATATTCAATATATGCTCAGAGATCTAGCTTCTGAGAGTGGTTCCTATTGAGGACTTCATTCAGTATCTTTTTATAGGTGCGACATCTGTAGATTTGAAGATGAGCACAGAAGTGAGATTTGATTTGAAGGAATTCTTTCAAAACTTGTAGAGATGACTTTCAATCTAGAATTCTAGTAGAGGTTCAATTCACTAGGTAGGTGGCAGTAAGTGTGATCTCAGGAAAAAGTGATTATGACAGAAGGGATTCTATCTGTAGAGTTCTTATCTTTGTTATTAATATTCCTCCTGCTTGCTCTGCTGCATCATTTTACTCATGAATATACTCTGAAGAATACTTCATCTCTAGGCCTTCATTATTCACTCAATTTGTGAAATCATCTGCTTTCTTGATTGCAGTATCATTGTCAATATGAATGATCTTTGTAGTAGAGTTGAATTGACATTTAATTCAATTGATAGCTTGCCTAAGAGCTTTTCAGATTTCTGATTTTCAGATAGCTGTTATAGCTATATGGAAATGTAGATAATCACACATGAAATGTATGAGATAACACTCACTATTATAGCACTGTGTAGAGCCATGTGTGATATCTGTGTGTAGGCATTCGAATGGTATTTGAGATCTAATATGAGAATGTCTAGATATTTGATTTTTTGCATTAGATAGATGGCAGGGTTTGCAAAGCTCAGTGATAAGCTCATTCACAGCATCTTCTAGATTGATGATTTGAATGCCAGTTGCATCATTTGCAAGCTTTAAAATGATGATTTTTGATGAATGTTCTAATCTCTTATACCATGTAGACTGAGTAGCTATAGAGATCTTAGATTTTTGAGAAGGTTTTGTGCATATTGACAGGTTGAAAGGATGATTTGATGAAGTGTGTTTTAACAGGTTAGAAGAAGGATTTGTAGAAGTTGAAGAATTTGAAGATATTGTTTTTTCAGATATAGTGATGTTAGATGTGTGTGATGTGATAGCTGCATTGGCTTTGATTGTGGATTTTTCTGATATAGTTGAGAAAACAGTTATATCACTATATTCTGTAACTAGCAATCTCTTAAATACTTCAATGTATGCAAAGATTGTATTATCTGCGCATTTTTGCAATCTGAAGTCTTTTTCATCATAATAGATGCCTTCTATATGAAAACACGGTTTCCATGTGATGATATTTGTATGGAAATTCGGGATGTAAGCTGTGTTGATGAGTTTCACATTGAACTGCTTTCCTGCTTTATTTATCATAATAGTTCTAACAGTTCTATAATCTTCAACTTTAGTGCTGGAATTGCCTGTATAGACTTCTGCATTCTCATTCACAGGTGTAAAGAATAGAAAACATGTTTGATTATTGTATATATGCTGTTCCGCGCCAGTATCAAAGATCCAGGAGTTTCAGAGATAGAAGTGTGAATTTGAAGAGTTCATTGATATTTTTCAGATCTGCTGATCAATAGATTGATAATCAATAGATTGATGATCTGATAGCTTCAGAACTATACCTTCTAGAACTGCTTCATTGGCATCTATCATATCTGTATTCATTGATGAATCTCTTGATAACACACGATCAACGCGTCTCTTCAATTCTTGATTTTTAAGAGCTTGATTGATCTGAGTTCTCTTCTCTTCATTTTTCTTTCATTCAGATGGCTTCCTTGATGAATTGAGATAGTAGCACTGGGCGTATCAGTGACAGGCTCTGCAGATGCAGTTTCTGAATGTTGCTGGTGATGATTGCTGAGATCTTTCATTAAGAGTAGTGAAGTTCATAGATTTATCTTCTTTAAGAATATTCATTTCCCTATATCATTTCTTGAAGTTCTTAACTAACTCTATCAAAGATATGACATCTTTATCACATTGAATATTCTTTGTTCATGCTTGTGTATATCCTGCATCAATAGCTAGATTTGCATTTAAGAAGTCTTTCTTCAAGTTGAACTGTTCAGCTATATCCACCTCTTTGATATCATCTTTGATGAGTGATCAGTCATTTAATCACTTTTCTATACCTCTGTTTTTCAGTGCTTTGCAGAGATCATGATATTGAGTTCTCACATCATCTTGATAATCTGTGATTGTGAGTGAGAGTCAATCTCTTAATAAATGAATAATCTCCTTCACATCATCATTCTCACTGTGTACATGTTATAGCTCTGTGACATTCACTGTTCTCTATATGACATCTTGTATCTTTGTCATACCTTCATTCAATTTCTCATATTTCATATATTTGATTTTCCACGCAGTGACCTTGATGTCATATGCTATCTTGGCCTCCGCGGTGACTTCATCTGGACTCTCAGGTTCCAGAGGTTCTTCTAGTTCAGAGAAGATATCAGATGTGTCAAGATTGATGAAGTCTGATATCTTCTTGTCCTTTGCATATCCTAGCATATGCTTGTATCAAAGTTTCCAATCTCCAGGAACACTAAGGTGTACAGTTGCACTAGACATTGTCTTGTCTGTCATATTGGTTATATTGAATGAATTGAGGAATCGGTTCAAGTATTTGTGGATATGATCAGAAATCAGGGTGTATAACAGTTGAGTATATCAGAACATATACAAGTGAGGATCTATTATCTCAGTTCGAATGATAGTTATCAGTTTGAATGAGGATTGGAATCAGTGTTTAGTATAACGGTCGAGTTGATCGAAGTGTATATGAATGAGGATTGGGATTGGTGTATCGCGCTTCTCTTCAGATGCTGCTTACCGGGCTCATAACTGTCGGATTGAGTGTCACAGATGAATATGTTGAAGACATATGAATCTTATTTATATCAAGATCTGCTTGTTATATTATCCGTACTCTATCTCATATATCTATTTCATACAAAAGATAGAGCTATTTATAGTAAAATATATGTGTGAGCCAAGAGAGCTAGCATAAGCGAGTTTTAGATGAGTGTTGTAGTAAGCTGATGATGATGAGAAATATTGTAGTAATATGATGTTGGTGGCGTTCAGTAGTGTATAACCTCTTTTTCCTGACAGATCTTAAACTCTGTTTTGAAAATTCAAAAGAGAAGAATATCAAAGCTGATAATTCATCTGCACTGGGTTCCTGCTCATATGAATATACATGACAATGAATTGGCTGATTCAGCTGCAAAAAAGAGTGCAGAATTAAGCAGATCTATTCAAAAAATTGTGTCCTGATCTTTTATAAAGAGAAAAATAAAAGAATCTTGTTTAGACAAGTGAAATGAAAGCTGGCAGAAACAAAAGAAGAGTATACATTATTCAAGATTTGAAACAAAACCCAAGTAGAAATCTTATTCAATTAAATGTAAAAAGAAAATATTCTCATCTATAATACAGCTGAAACTAGGACATGGCTATTTCAAATCTTATATACAAAGATTTGATGATAGATTTGACTCAATAGAATGCTCATTCTGCAATGCAAATGAGAATTCTGAGTATATTGTAATGCACTGTGCATTATACAATAATCTCAGAGCTAGATTGAAAGAGAAGTATGATCTAAATCAATTAAATATGAGATTCTTATTCTCAACTGAGACAGGAATTAAATACTTAATAGACTTTCTATCAGAAACTCAAGCAGCTACAAGAAAATGACTAAATTCAGAATTATCTGAATATGAAGAGGGGGAAATCAATCAGATATAGTCTGTTAAAACAGCTATATACTATCTTTTAATAATTTATTTTGTTACAGTCTCTCTTTACTTTATCTTTTTCTTTCAATTTCTTTCTATCTATCTGTTTAATGTGTCTATCTTTAAGACTGTGTTCTCTTTCTCTTTTCCTTTGTCATGATATTGTCAAATGATTTCAAAGTATCAGAAGATGTTAAAACACTGCAATTTGTAAACAGTTTTTATATTCTGAGCTGGAATTTTCTGATTTTGTATATTTGAAATTGATGAATGTATAATAGTTAACTTTACAGATATAGGAAAAACCCTGAGAACTAAAAGTTCTCAGGTAGATATCATAGTCTCTGACTGCATACATCTATAATTGAAGAATAATAATAATAATAATAACTACACCTACTCTAGTCACGTGCCACCTCAACCTATCATATGAGAAGAACGTAGGGTTAATTTATTGACCGTTACGGCCGTTGCGGTTAGCAATCTCACTAGATCACGTGACCCACCACTATATTATGTTCTTGTAGATAGATCTATCAATACAACCTTAAACTATTCTACAGATTATAGTCTGAATATCATGTTTTTCTTTTTAAAACATTACATCAACATTTTTAACATGAATAGTTTATCTTTTTTGAAAAGACTCTCACTCTTTATTAAAGATATTTTATTTTTCCTGAATCTGCTAGTCAGCAGATTTATATACTTTATATTTTTAAGAAAGCATGTTCTTTATTGTGAAGAATATCACTTTTTTTTTTATATATCTAGAAGAAGCAGAGTCATCTTGATATGAGTAATACATCTGTTACTTCAGAGTTCAGCTCAAGGCTCAGAACTACACACTTCACTAGACAACTCATTGATAGAATGATCACTTATTATGAGAAGGCTTCTGACTTACAAGATAAGACTGAGGTCAGTTTTCACCAGAGTATGAAATTTAATGATGAGATAATGAAGAAACTTCAGAACAAAGAAAAGCAGAGTCAACATTCATCTGCAGAATCTGTTCATTTCAACTCATTGAATTCTTCACTGTTTCTCACTCTCAGAATGCTGACTTTTAATAATGATTCAACTCAATCTATCTATTACATCACAGACAATCTTATGAATCTTATACAGATAATGCTATGAAATCAAATGACTGCAGCTGAAATCACTCAATATCTCACTACATCTGTCTCTGCACAAAGAGACACTACAAGAGATGAGTTACAGAAATATCAGAAGAAAGTTAAATATACACTAGACATCAAATCAGTGACCACATTTGATGACTCTAATTATGAAGTCTGATATGTTGATATATTAAATGATGTAGAAGTTATTGATGAAACTGACATTCTATTGAGAACTTAATAAGAATTCTCTTTTACATATTATATTAACTCTGAGAAGTGAAGAATTCATTCTAAGTCTCTATATAGGCATATGCTATTGAGTCTTATTGAAAATATTTGAATAACTATTAAAATCTTGAAAGCTGACAATACTGTGACTCTGTGAAACAAGATCAATGTTGAATATATAATATCACTGACTGAAGAATGAGTTAATATCTTCAAGAAATTGATAAAATTATAAGTCAAGAAGAATGATTATCTTACTTTTCAGAGATATTTTCACTATCTTATTACCTGTCACAAGGAGCTCTGTCAGAGCACTGAGAATGTATATCATGATCTTTTCCTCAACAATCTACAAGATTATCAAAGACTGTTTGTCAAGATATGTTTGAATGAGTTTTTCTTCACTAGCTAGAGACTCATTATCAACATTGATATTAATGATTTGATAAAGCAACTGATCAATTGTACATTCAAGAAGATCATCACTGAGTAGAAAAAGCAGCCTCAGGCTGATTCTATGACTGTGAGAAAGAATAAGAACAAAGATAAGAACAAAGATGAGAATAAAAGCACATCTGTATAAAAGTGTACTCACTGCAGAAGACATGAATATACTGTTGACAGGTGTTTTATCTTACACTCTGATAAAAAGAAAAAGAAGAATGATAAGAAGAAAGAGAAGAAGAATAACTTGATGAGTTCTCAATCAGCAGCAAATGCAGCAATTACAAAGATTGAGTTCTATTTCTCTTTCACAGTCACTGAAAAACCATCCTCTAGATCTTGATATTTGAACACATGTGTGAGCCTGAATATGACAGATGAGCTTCATTCTTTCTCAAACATCAAACCTTTTAGTGATAACATCTCTGTTGATTTCACAACTGAGGGAACTGAGTTTGTCAAGAAGATTGAGACTGTTATCTTAGAGATTGAGAGTGATGATGTTCACTTGCAGAATGTTCACTATATCTCTAATATTACAGTTAACCTGCTCTCATTTATAAAGCTTGAAGATCAGGGATTCTGATTTACATTGTCTTTCACTATTCCCTCATTTTTCATTTGCAGAGCTCTGAACAGTGTTATTTTTCATACAGTTTGAACTGCTCAGAACAATATATATAAGATCAATGAATGAGAGTTCAATGAGAATCTCAATCATCTGAACAAGGCAGTTAAGTATATTGCAATGTCACATGAGTATGATTTTGACTGAAAAGTTGCTCTTTCTGTGACTGCTGTCACTACTGTTAATAACATTGATTCTACAGTTCTGAATACAGGTCTCAAGATTACAGGAATATCAAAGACTCTTTTGAACTGGCACTGTGATCTCAGTCACATTCACACTGATGCTATAATTGCTATGACCAAGAATCTCTATACTGGAGTCACAATTAAAGATTCTAAGACTAAGTTCTTTTGCAAGAAATGTGTCAAGACAGATATAATGTGAGATTATTTGAAAACACTGATATCTAGATCTATTTGACTCATTGAGAAGGTTCATATTAACCTTGCAGATGACAGATGTACATTGAAAGACCTCTCTGACCATCTCTTAGAGTCTCATCAGAGAATCAAATACTGAATGCTTATCATCTGTGATGCAACTCACTACTGTTGAGTATATTTTTTAAAGTTCAAGAATGAGGCTGTTCAATACTTTGAGTTGTGGCTCAGATTCATGAATAATCTCAGGTATACAGTTCCTGCTTTTCTACAGACTGATATTGATGATGTTTTTCAATTCACATGTATACACACAGTTATGAATTCATATGATATCAAATGAGAATCAACAGCATCATATTCATCACATCAGAATGGCATTTCCAAACATGAAATCTGCACTATCATAGAATGAGTTAGAACTGCTTTTTTGAAAGATAATCTTTCTAAGAGATTCTGAGCAGATGTTCTAGAGACAGTGATTGTAATAATTAATAATACTCTCACATCTACAGTTCTTTACAACTCAAAATTTTGATTCTCTACTGTAGAGACTTCTGTGATCCCAAGTTCATATAAGATTTCTTGATATGCACTTATGAATACCGTGCTGAATGTGAGGCATTTTTGCTGATTGAGTGTAGAGGTTTTTATTCACTTGCATGAATCTCAGAAGCCCGCGGATAAGCTCTCTTCATGTGCCAATTTCTATCATATCATTGAATTCAGTGATACTTTGATATATTGCCTATGACATTCTGAGTCTGACAAGATTATTGTCAGTAGTGATGTGAGGTTTCTGATCACTGAAAAACTGATTGTTATATCTATGAAACTTATTAATTATGTTATTGAACTGAAACCTGACATTCATCTGATTGATAATGAAGATGCTTCTGATATTGATGATCTGAATTTCACATGATTGTGACCTGCGAAATCACTGACTACTTACACTTCAAGCCTTATTACAGGTAACCTCCCGAAGTTCTACAA